TTAACAGCATGAAAGGCAGCAATACAATGGAACTTGGTTGAAAAACAAATCATACAAGATAAGGTTTTGGACAAATCACACAAGATTGGTTTATGGATAAAGAAATAAAATTTTGGTTGACAGGCAACCATAGTAATATTTATAAAAAAGAGATAAAGATGCAATCTTGAAAAAATGACAATTTTTGGACCTTGTCTGTAATAGAAAGAGCATCATTAAAAGAAACAATCATATGACAACAGTATTCCATACAAAAACAAGTATGAGGTTTATAAAGGTTATAAATGGAACTCACGCACAATAAAGAAGGACAACCTTAGCTGATGATAACTTTGGAGTATATTGACTAACAAAAATAAGTTTATTAACAAAATATATGGCTTAATAAAATTGATAATTTTAAAGGGGGGATGAAAATTGGTAAAACTGTAGGGACGTTTTTTTAAAAAATATATAAAAATTAATTTTTGATTATTTGTTTATTTATTAGTGCACTTATAAAGTTAAAACTTAGTTTTGATCAAAGATTTAAGGAAAAACATTGGCCCAAGGGAATATGGGCCCAAGCCCAAGTGAAATAAGTGAAGAATAAAATTAGGAAGAGAATAAAAATATGTATTAAATAATAAAAGAGGATGAGAATAAAAAATGGAAAAGATGTTGAACATTCAGAACAAAATCAAAACACTGTATGTGTAATAAAAGTAAAATTAGAGTGTAAGCAGCGCGAATACAATAAAACTCAGACTTTTATGGGAAAACTATGACTCACGTGTAAAGTCTAAGAGCAATGTATAAAGAAATATGTAAAAAATCATATTTGCTTTTAGTGGGAGATGAACCATGAGTTTAAAAACTACCAGTTCTACGCTTAATCCTAAATTTTGAATTGGACATAATATAAATGAATATAACAAAATAAAATAATAAAAATCCAATAAAACAAGTTGCAAAAACAAAAGAAAAACAAACTACATGAAAAAAAAGTATATAAATATATATATAAGGATAAGTTAGAAATAACACTCAATCTAACATGAGCCATCATAAAAAACATCCCTGTCTACAACAACATAACTTAAAAATGCCCATTATGGTTATACAAAAAAACTAATAATTTTATTGTATAAAAATCCTAAAGATTTCATCATTAAACAAAAAAATAAATGAAAAGAAGCCTCAACAAATTATGCTCATAATCCTGATATAAAAGTATTCCAATAACATTCTTTTTAAAGGATTAAAAATTTAATTACACATATTATCAAACAAGAATAAAAAAAAAAATATCATCATGAAATAAAAATTAAAAAAAAAATTAACATACCATCATTATTCTTTTTTAACAAAACTTCCAAAAAGTTGAACTCAAACTTTTCACTATTTCTTGCTCTCTTTGTTTCCAATAATCCAACAGCAATAATTAACAAAGTCTTAAAATCAATAAGTAAAGTCTTAAAACCAATAAGCAAAGTCTTAAAATCAATAAATAAAGTCTTAAAATCAATAAGCTTAGTCTTATAATCAATAAGCAAATTCTTAAAATACCATAACATTGATCAAAAAACTAAAAAATTTATTATCAGATAAGTTTTACTTCTCATATAAGACGTTATAAAATATATAAAAATAAGTAGCCCTATGACCATAGTGGAGAGACAGTTAAAAAAAAATTATTTAAAGAATAAAAATTCATTTATTCAAGAGTAAAATAAAAGACTTTTGAAAGCAAAAATTTTGAAAGTCTTACCACTTCTATAATTTCTACAGTCACCATTTGCATTGATAAAGCTCGATTTAAAACTAGCTTCATAAGAAACGCTAACTTTTCTGAGTGCAGCAACTTTAATACAGATTCTAGTTTTGGGAGAAATCTTGGTGGCATAGCCAAAAATGTTACTGATAAAATAAAAATAAAAAAAACATGTATGAGTGGGTGTGTATGTGTATGTATGTGTGTATATACACACATGCATATATATATATATATATGCATATATATATATATATATATATATATATATATATATATATATATATATATATATATATATATATATATATATATATATATATATATATATATATATATATGTATACATATATATATGTATATATATATATATATATATATATATATATATATATATATATATATATATATATATATATATATATATATATATATATATATATATATATATATATAAGAATGCTTTTGTGTTTTAATGGCTACTGTTTATATACCTGAATGGTAACTAACCTGTCTCAAAAAACTCAATCTCACAGCTCTCACATGCCTCAAAGATCCAGTAGTTAAATGTTCCATTAACAATACATTACAATTTTTATTACTCAACTGGTTCCCACCTCGAAAACACCTTGCTACAGAAGTAAATATAAACACGCCAATAATACGAATGTGGTCACATACTTGTTGTCTATTGACCCTCGCTCCCAGTTTACTTGCAGATACTGAATTTGGTGCAAAACTAAATGCATAAAATCTCATCATGAAAAAAGCCTCATCAGATTTTATGAAGTAAATTTTATCATACCCGAATTACCCATCTTTAACTTTCTGTCAGTGAACAACTTAAATATTTCACTGATCAGCTATGACTCTGTATCTGGAAACTTTTTGCTTACTTAAACTTAGAAACCTGGAACTAGTTGAAGTTCTAATCTTTTACATGTCAACAAATGAATTGTACCATCTAAATGCCTTCTTGTATACATCACACCAATTTCTAAAGTTGATAATCCATTTCTAGCAATCCAATCAATACCAACCAATCGCTATAATATCGACAACATGTAAAATAGTTGAATAGTTGCCATGATTATCATTATAGATTGCAAAAAGTACTGAATGGAAAGATATATAACCAAGAGCAATACAAGGAAGGATTCAATCCTAATTTTAACCTATGTATTAAACATAAATGGCTAACTCCTGAAGAAGTGAATACACAAAATATTTCAGACATTTCCTAGCATGAATGGTTAGTAACAACTCTTTCCTTCTATAAGAAGTAACAAATAGTCTTTAATGATGGTGTGATGGTAATAAAATACATCTTAACATAGTCAAATGTAAAATTATTTATACTGACCAAGGCAAGTCATAACATTAAACAGTTGAACTTATGCAAATATCTTGACATCAACCTCAACACAACACTCAAGTGTGACAAACAATGGTCTTTATAACAGAATTGACCCTACATAACAAACTTTATTTTAAGCAACTCCAAATTTTTGGTCTCAGTCTATGCTTACTGAGTTTGCCTCACCCACCAGGGCTTGGAGCTGCTCAAGAGCTATCTAGAGCTGATGTTTTTACAAGAAGCTGACAGAGCTGGAGCTAAAATATTTCCAGGCGGAGCAGTCTGTGAGGCCAGCTCTGCCTGAATTTGTTTGGAGCTGGCTTCATAGCCAGCTCCAAATTAGCTATTCCCTTTGATAATTTGATCAAAGTATAGGTATTTTTTGTTAAAGGGATTCCTAAGCACTACGAAGTTACTTTTTTATAAAAATTTTTCTTAACTTAAACTGTAATTAATAATGTAATTTGAAGTTTTATAATTGATACTGATGATATAATATGTACAGATTGAGCATTAAGTATTTGATGCTCACCTTGAGACACTTAAAAATTTAATATTTTATAAATTATACTTGAGCTGATGTATATAAAGTTGTTTTTGTATACATTCAAAAAAGTGCTAGCGTTTTTTTATAAGATAACTTTTATCAAATTGTTTTTTGTTTCATGTTTATAATTATAGAGACAATCACACTTTTAAATAAAAATTTAGATAATGAAAATTTTCTAGATGAAGCTATACAGGCTGAGGAACATTTATGACAAAAAATAAACAAGGAAGAAAGTGCAGCAATTTGGGAAAAAAATCTAACCTTTGTTCTCCAAGAAAAATGTAAACATAATAAGATCGAGGTGATGTGCTGCGTTGTTCACACTTTGCAGCTAAATATTTGTGATGATTTAAAAGAAACATACACTACCCAACTTTTGGCAAAAGTTGGGTAGTGTATGTTTTCAATTTTTGGCAACATATGCTGCAGCTAAAATTTTTTAGCTGCAGCATATGTTGATGCTAGATGTAGAATACTGTTAGAAGAGAATCAGATATATAACCAAAACAAGGCTTAAAAGCAATAGCAGAAAATAACTTATAAAAGAGGTGCCAAAAATATAAATATAAGAAAGTCAAGAAATAAAAAAACAGCTGAATCATCTACAGCACTTCATACAGTTTTAGGTGATTCTAATTCTGATGATGAATTAGACAAGTTTGAAAAAGAGCTTGATAAAAAGAAAAATTAAAAAAAATTGAGGTGTGACCAAAGAGTAGTCACTTCTATGGCTTTTTCACAAGCAAGCATAGAGAGGCTTACTCACAAGCAAGTGTAGAAAGTCAATTAAGTTTGTGTTTTTGTGGTAACTTAAAAAATGTTTATTTCACAATTAATTTAATGATTTTAACAATTTTTTTGACATCACAAAAGCATTAGACAAAGCCAAAGCTAATAATAAGTGACATAATTTGTTATCAAAAGAATCATTATTTACCTAATGTACTCTCAAAACCAACAATTTATAGAACTATTTAAATTTGACAAATCAAGTATACAATATATAAAACATTAAAATAATTGATGGAACTAATAAAATATTTTTGTTTTTTTAAAAACCTCAAATAAGCAACTAGACAGACTGTTGCTATTATTTAAATTCAGAATGTTTTTATTTTTAATTTTTTTACTGTTTTTATTATTTAATGTTAATAATTTTTATTGTCTTTTCATTTCATTTAAGGATTAGTGTTTAGGATTAGGATTATATATATATATATATATATATATATATATATATATATATATATATATATATATATATATATATATATATATATATATATATATATATATATATATATATACATATATACATATATATATATATATATATATATATATATATATATATATATATATATATATATATATATATATATATATATATATATATATATATATATATAATTATATTTAGATGAATAAAAACAACTGATTAGCGGGACTTAAAGTTTCATGCCCGAAGGCAATCATCAGCCGTTAATAAAAACAAAAAACATAAACAAACCGTTACAAAAACGTAAAAATTACGGTAGAATGACATCTGACGTTATAAACAAATCTACGTAAAAAACAAATCAAAAAACAAAAAACAAAAAACAAAAAGCCGTTATAATTTATTAGTCCCCTGTGTCAAATAAAGATAATAGGAATTTTTTTGAATGCCGACACTGAGATACGATTTCGTTTTTTTTATTCAGTAGATTTTTTCCAATATGCGATAAAATTACATATTTTTCGTAGAGACAAAGGTGGCATATTTTTGTTGCTAGATTGTAAGGTTTACAAGGTTTGACCATTTTCCATTCTATAATGGGCTTTATGTTTTGGTCTTTTTACATACATACATATATATATATATATATATATATATATATATATATATATATATATATATATATATATATATATATATATATATACATATATATATATACATATATATATATATATATATATATATATATATATATATATATATATATATATATATATATATATATATATTGTTATGTATATATATAAAAGTATGTATATATAAATATATATATATATATATATATATATATATATATATATATTTATATATATATATATATATATATATATATATATATATATATATATATATATATATATATATATATATATATATATATTGTTATGTATATATATAAAAGTATGTATATATAAATATATATATATATATATATATATATATATATATATATATATATATATATATATATTGTTATGTATATATATAAAAGTATGTATATATAAATATATATATATATATATATATATATATATATTTATATGTATATATATATATATATATAAATATATATATGGGGTCGTCCATAAATTACATCACGCTTAGGAAGGGGGGTGGAGAGGAAGGGGTAGGCGATTTTGTGACAATTTGTTACGAGGGGGAGAGGGGGAGTCTTGATTTTGTGATGCAACATTTTTTTTTTTTTAGAGAAGACTTTCTTTTAATTAAAAGAGTATCTGACCAAACCAAAACCCTCACTTGATGTATCTACATGTTGATTGTAAAATTAACTACGCCTAAATCTTACTTGTACACTCCATTACAGCCTGTTAACGGTTACAGCCTGTTAACGGACTGTTACGGCTGTTTGTGCAGTGCACGTTCTGCACTTTGAATTTATATGGTTCAAGTGCAGAACTTTATTTAGTTGATGCACAAAAGTAAGCATCAACAAAAAACAATCTTTGTGCAATAACTAAAAAAAAAAAAAAATCAAAAAATGTCAAAAAATGTCAAAAACTGCATGACGTAATTTATGGACAACCATTCAAAATTTTATAAAAATTTTAAAAATTAGATTTATTTTTTATAAAAAACAACTTAAAACTTATTATTAAAAATGTTGTAAATATTACCTTTTTTCCATTTTTTGTTTAAAAAACATAGTTTTTATTCAAAAAAACCTAAACTTGTAATTTTATCAAAAACTTTTTGTTTTTGAAATTTTAAAATGATTTTGCTTCTTTTAAGTGTCAGGTTGACATATTTTTAAATAATTTTTTTTTTAATAATATTAGGGACTTGTCAAATGTTTGGGGACTTTGAGGGACCTTTAGGGCAAATAATAAAATTTAGTAAAAGATATTTTTGAACCACAATATGATAGTTGAATGGGAAAAACTTCAATTAGCTATGTTCTGAAAACAAATTAGCATACTGAACAGCACTAATATATATATGTATATATATATATATATATATATATATATATATATATATATATATATATATATATATATATACATATACATATACATATACATATATATATATATATATATATATATATATATATATATATATATATATATATATATATATATATATATATATATATATATATATATATATATATATATATATATATATACAAACAAAGAAAATACAACAATCAGTTTTCAAAATTTTATTTACTTTAGTAAACATGAAAATGAAAATAAAAGTTACCATTGTTATCATTAGTTTTTTTTAAAAAAGCATTTCGCTCTTCAAGTACCTGTAAATCAATAACATTTTATATTCACGTACCTGTATAACAAAACTTTAAATAATATTATGCAACCATTAAATAATATTATGCAACCATTAAATAATATTATGCAACCATTAAACATGTTTTATGCAACCGCTAAACATGCTTTATGCTCTTAAGACTTTTAAAGTTAATTTTTTTTTTTTTTTTTTATAAATCATACAGATTTACATTTTTTTAACATTATATTCCTGTTTCAAAAATTAACAAATTTATATTGTAAATTAATTTTTAAAAAAACATTTTTTCTTCTGGAAATATTGATCATAGCACCATATCTGCTTTCATATATTTGCAAAAATATTTTTCTCTATAATTAAACTCTTTTTTAAATATTTTTGAAATATATTTGAAAAAATATACAAAATTTTTGGTTTTATTTAAAAGATATCCTGAACAAATAGTATTTGTGTAGGTTGATAGCATTCATTCAAGATACATAGTTGAACCTTATCAAAAGTTGCTTACTAAAATAATTATGCCTAAACCTAAAGTTGCTACCAATAATCAAAAGTTAAGATAGTAAATCTAAAGTTGCTACCAACATTAAAAGTTAAGATAGTAAATCTAAAGTTGATACCAACATCAAAAGTTAAGATGTTTAAGGAAAAAAACTAGACAAATAACGAGTAACACGAGAATAAATTTTAGTAGATGGCACACGCTAGCTCTTTAGAGCAGTGTCCATTATAGTATTTGTAGAAAAGAGAAAGAGAAGCAACATTACGACGATGTGACAAAGGTTGAAGGATGGCTGCAAGAGCAGGTCCAAATATGTTTACAATGCATTTTTGCACCTTGTCTAAAAGAGAAAGGGCACCATTAGAAGATCCGCCCCAGATATGGCAACAGTATTCCATACAAGGTCGGATTTGAGATTTATAGAGATAGAGAATAGAATCCAGAGTAAGAAAGTGTCGAGCTCGATAAAGAGATGCAACTTTAGAAGATACTAAATTTGCAACGAATTTGATATAAGGTTTCCAAGAAAGATCAGAAGTAAGAGTTAATCCTAGAAGATGAAGGGTAGATGACTCATCCAGTACATTACCGTTCATAAATATAGGAAGGTCTAAATTATTGCAATAACCATTGGCTGAAATTTTTTTTATCTGAATTAAAGTTTACCAGCCACTGGTAGTTGGAGTTGGCTTCTTATCGTGACAAGAATAAATGGTAGTATCATCAGCAAACAATGCTACCTTAGATGTGAGAATATCTGGAAGATCGTTAATGTAAATTAAAAAGCGTATAGGGCCAAGGATTGATACAAGTATAGGGCCATGGATTGATATAAATCTAAAGTTGCTACCAGCAATCAAAAGTTAAGATAGTAAATCGAAAGTTGCTACCAACAAATTTAGTTAGAATATTTAACATAAATTCATTTTTAAGAATAGCACAAATAAATAATTAAAGCATTGATAATTTTTTGTCAAAAAAATACTTATTTTTGACTTTTATAAAATTGTAAATAATTATTTACAACTTTGTCAAGTTAATATTTATTATCAGTTTTTTTGAAAATGAACACTATTATGTTAGATAATATTTAGAAAATTGATATCAAAAATAAGGAAAACAAAGAGTTTTTTTTTTAATTTATCATTTAGTTAATCTATCTTTTACAAATTGAAAAACAGAACAAACAAAAAACACTGAAACTTACCTTTGATCTATCAATCTTTGTATAATGAATAAAAAATTGATTACAAAGATGCATTTGAGCTGTTTTCAAGCAAAACAATCCTTTTCCTGTCAATCCTGGCTCTCTAAAAAAAATTTTAAAAATGATGATGCAATAAGTGCAAATATTTTTTTCTTTCAAAATATCATTGTATTTAATTTTGTGGGTACATCAGAAAAAGAGATTACATACTCTGACACAACCTGATAAAACTTTAACTAGACTAGGTACCTGCCATGTGTGTGTGTGTGTGTGTATGTGTGTGTGTGTGTGTATGTGTGTGTGTTGTGTGTGTGTGCGTGTGTGTGTGTATATATATATATATATACACACATCTTAACTTTATATTATATAATATTATGCTACTATGTTATATATTCATAAGCGAGTGTTTCTGTGTTCAATCCCCATCAAATCCTTGTTAGTACTGTGCTCAACTTGTTTCTCCGCGCAGAAATTTTGTTCATCAAGGTTTGTGTTTCAGAGTTATAGAGTTGAGAGAGGGTTATAACCACAATTAAGTAGTGGCCTTCTCGACCTCTGTAGTGGCCTTCTCGGCCTTGGGATGGTGAATTAACATTAAATTTATATTTATATATATATACAGGGTGGCCCATAAGTCACTTTACATTTTAAAAATTAAATAACTTTTTTTCTATTAATTTATTTCTATTTCTCTTTTTAGAATTAAAAAATATAATCTTTGGAAATTTTTAGTATGGATACATTTACAATAGAACAACGAGTGAAGATAAGTGAATTTTACTTTGAAAATGAACGGTCAATTGTTGCAACGCAAAGATCGTATATGCGCCATTTTAATGTTCGACATCTCCCTAGTAGGCCTGCAATAATGAACTTAGTGACGCGTTTTTAAGAGCATGGCTCTGTAAGTGATAGGACTAAAAGTGGACGAGGTCGTTCAGTACGTACATGTGAAAATACTGAAGCTGTGAGGCCGTAGCATTGAAGAGAACCCAACCACATCCACTCAAAGGCGTTCTCAAGAACTTGGCATTTCACGGAGTTCTCTGCAGCGCATTCAAAGAGACTTGCACATGTACCCTTACAAGATTCAATTAGTGCAATCTTTACAACCACCAGATTTTCAGACAACGACTAAATTATGCTGTCAGGGTTTCAGAGAACTGCAAGAAATGACAATGAGTTTATTCACAAGTTGATCATGGGAGATGAAGCTCATTTCCATTTGAACGGACATGTGAATAAGCAGAATATGAGATTTTGGGGCACCGAAAATCCACACCAAGGTCATGCGAGGGTCCATTACAACTCAGTTAAAGTCACAACATGGTGTGGAGTAACATCAGAAAAGGTTATTGTGCCCTTCTTCTTTGAAGATGTAAATGAAAATGCTGTTGACTGTAACTGCTGAGAAATATCAAGACATGCTAGCGAATTTTGTTCAACCTCAGTTAGCAAACATGGCGAGGGTATTAGTGGCAACAAGATGGAGCAATTGCACATACCGCTAGAGCCACAATGCAGTTGTTAACAGCAATGTTTCAGGATCAGATAATCTCTCTTAAATTCGATTTTGAATGGCCTCCACGTTCTCCTGATTTGACAGCACCAGACTTTTGGCTTTGGGGATATCTTAAAGACAAAGTGTAATAATTAATAAGCCCCAAACTATTCAAGATCTTAAGGCAAACAGACGACAGGAATTTCTTTTCCTACAACCTCAGATGTTAAGAAGTGTTGTGGAGAATAGCTTAAAAAGAGCTCGACATTGTGAAGACGAGAATGGAGGCTATTTAAGAGACATTATCTTTCGTAACTAAGTCAGAACTAACTTACAGATTCTAAACTTTGTAATAAAAAAAGAATTAATTAAATACAGTCGTTTAATAAAAAGTTATTTAATTTTTAAAATGTAAAGTGACTTATGGGCCACCCTGTATTATCATATAACTATGTTTTATTTGCTACACTTAATATTTAAATATTAATATGTCACTACATTATATAATATTATGCTTTTATGTATTATATGTTTAACTTAAAACATTTTACATTTAAACTTATTAATAATAAGTATAATAATTAAGAAGAGTATTAGTTTATTATAAACTAAGAATTTTAATTCCAATTAAACTCAAAATTATTTATCTTTATTTTAAACTTTTACAAGACTAGCAAATGATAACAAAAATAATTCTTCTGATTTAGTAATTTCAAATAGCCAATTAATGGCTAGACATGATGTTGTTATAAAGCTTTTTATCTTAAAATCAGTTAGAAAGCTTTATTTATTTTTTTATTTTCCAAGACATATAAAGTCAAGTAAGGTAAAGAAAAGTTTACAAGAAAAGTTTAAAACTAAAAACTTGAAACTTAAAAAGGGTGGAAGAAGGTTTTTAGTTTACCTTGTCAAAAAAAAATCAAAATAGTTACGTAAATATACCCGCTGCATAAACAAACAACAAGTTTTGAAATTAGAGAGAGAAACTCATATTTTAGTTTTACTTGTCTTAATGTGAACACGATTCAAAACTAAGTTAACTACCCAGCAAACATTCTATAGCAGAACTTCAGTGGACCTTTTTTACCTGTTAACTGTTGTTTTGCTTAATTTTGTAGTTTTGGTTAATTAATAGACTATTAGTACCAATCGCCAAAAGTGGCTAACTAGTGACTAGCCACTAAATCCATCTAAGAAAGTTATTGGCTGACCATTTATAGCGTCTGCCCCTGATGAGTAAAACTCTAATAAACTACTCAAAAATGCCTTTATAGGTCCACTGCAAATCCACTAAAACAATGTTTGCTGTGTAGTCATAAGATTGTTTTAATGATTTTTACTAATATGATCCTTAAATATGGTAAAAAATAAAAAACAAATAAGAATATAACCTGACTTATTTATATATTTATTTATGCTATTTTTTAGCAAACACAATATATATATATATATATATATATATATATATATATATATATATATATATATATATATATATATATATATATATATATATATATATATATATATATACATACATATATATATATATAAAAGAAACAAAGGTTACGCTACTTTTGCTTCAAATTGGTAAAATACTACTGTTATGTTTTGCATTAACAAAACAATTTTAAATCTTTTCAGATTATTTTCAATTAAATTTCCAAATTGATGTTTCAAAAAAATTCAAAAACTTTCAAAAAAAATTCAAAAACTTTCAAAAAAAATTCAAAAACTTTCAAAAAAAATTCAAAAACTTTCAAAGTTTCTACTTATCATGATTTAACAAGAGTTTTTTTGAAAATACTTTTTGAAAATACTTTAGTTAAAACTTGATACAACGACGTACATTTGCAACCAATCAAATAGCTGCTGCAGATGCCACAAAGTATAGTTTACACTTCAGAGTTTATTTTTTAACTAATCAGATTGCTACTTTTAGTAGTAAGGAACCAATTAACTTTTCCAATTTTCTCATTCCCTGCAAAGTATGATTTACATTAGGAAGTTTTGTAAAATAATTTTTTTATCCAGTACAAAGCAGAGTTTTCACTATAAACTTTTTTTAAAATAC